TAGATGTATTGTTGAGGATTTTTACGCTTAATTTCATTCTGTATACAAAATCTATTGTGCTATCTATAAGGTCATTTATAAATAATGATCCCCCAGCAGTAAGACTTAAAACATTCAAGATTGATCACAATGGGACGATAGATAAATTTATAAATTTCGATAAATTTTTTCAGTAAATTATGAACTGGTGTCCTTCTCGAAACCTTGAATGAATGAAATCTGATCAAGATTATAGCCTTAAAATGATTATGAGATCATGTAAATGTAATTATAGGAGGATTGAATGTATTTTATATACACCTGCATGTTATTAATGAAGAATTTAATTATTAAAGGTGGTTGGACATACTTGTTTTCGACAACAGTAGAGAACAATTGCCACAATAAAGTTATAGTAATAATTGCCACAATTAAGTAATAGTAACATGTAATGATGTTTATAACAAAAAGTTATTTTATCTTTAACCTTTAAAACCTGCAGTGAATGGTGGCCAAGTGGTAAACCAGTGTTGTGGTTGGTGCTGTGGTTTCCAGCCCTACCACTGTCACAACCACATTTCTCTCATATTGTTACGGGAAGCAGGTTTGAACTTATTGTGGTCCTTAGTGACAGGATGTCTAAGATGTGGTCTTAATTTGTGCAGTTGTTTTAACAGTTTAATATCTGGTTTGACTGTATTGTAAATACTTGTAATTTACTAAAAATTTTAGAATGTAAGAAGAAGTGTTATTTCTTTTGATAACTATATTTCTATTGACTGAAAGAACCTTATCTTGATATATAGTGACTGTTGTAAGCAAAAACCATGTGTAAAAATCCATGAAAACCACATCATTCAAGTCCCTTTTTAACTTGCATAATATTTCATAATAGGTGAGAACTTACTTAGCTGTGTGCCAAAATCCTTGGTGTCTAATAATACTATATAGCACTTCATTTAGGTAATTTGCAGTCAATTTCTGCACATGGTGTCTAATAAAGATGTATTGCTAATATAATGGAAAACCCTGAAATCAATGAAATGGTAGCATTTTGGTGTGTAATTACCACTTAGGAGGGTAGATATAGGCAGATCACATTTGTTATTTCTAGGAGATCATGTCAAATGTTCAGAAAGGCTGCAGTTATAAGGTATATTTATAGGAAGGTGGCGCCATTTTCATGAGATATTTATCAGTCTTGCATTATTTGTATAGTAAAACCTGTGTTAAGACCACCCTAGAGAGTGGAGAAATTTCTTTAGAAAAAATGTAGATATTTTTCTTAGGATGATATGTCAGTTAAGGTGTATATTGCTACATGCACATATAAAGTCTACAGGCTTGCATGTAATTGAAACATCATTCCTTTAACCGCACTGCACTTTGGTGTTTTATTTTAAGATGGCTTTAACTTCTTGGTTTCACTGTAAACAAACAAAAATCGAGACTTGCGCAAATGAATGTGTATTTAAGATAAAGACATACATCCTTAAAATACAAGCTTTTATATAAACTGTGTAATATTCGTAGTAGTACGTTAACATCAATAAATACATTGATCAGATTTTTTTTTATCGCAAAGCTTACCTTTAAAGTGGAGTTGTAGTATAGGTAAATGTTTTTAATCTATATGTATAGTAAAGGAGTGTCCAATATCGTTAAAGTTAGTAAATGGAAGACTTAATTCACGGTATGTGACATACTGACATTGAACGTGTAATGTTTTATGTTCTCAACATTCATTCATAACTTACATTCATAACTTACGGACAATTTTATTTAAAATGTGTGCAATGCTCAACGCGTGAGTTTATTTAAAGTTATCAAAGGAATAGGTGCGAATCGGTTAAATTTATCAAGTAATAGGTGTGAGATGGTACTCACTCAGATGTGACCAGTTAAACTCTGTCTTGTGGTTTTTTATGTCAATCAAAAATAAAGTTTTATGAATACTAATTTGAGGATAATTTTCACCTCGACTGTGACAGGAGAAAGGAGTATTATATGAATGGATAATAATAATATGGGAGTTACAAATGGAGGTAATATTTAATAAATTAAATTTCTGTTCTTTTAAACCATCTCTTACCACCGGCCAAGATTAATACTGGTTTAAAAAAATCACATTGCTTAAAGAGTTTTGGTTTATGGTATACATATATTTACTTTATGATAAACATTTTTTCCCTTTTCAATGTAAGACCATTTCATTGGACACACAAGGTTTTTCTTTGCATTCCAATGTGAACGATATTATCTTAAACAGTTTCAACATATCTAAATATAATTTGACTGTTTTCATGTTGAACTTAAAACATTGTATTATTAATTTCCTTGTAATATAGCCTGTTTAGTTTTCAAATAGGTATTGAATTGCCTCTGTTCGGATCAACCATAATCTATCTTAGAAAAGAGATATGTTTAATACTTAAAGATTTTTCAACAGTCCAACAAAATAAAAGTTAAAAGATCTTATCACTAGCATACAAAAATAGGAGAGTTTATCAATTAAGAAAAGCTATTGGTGTAATAGGGGAGTTTGATTTGGCAATAAGAGCTGAATGATGGTTCAGGTTAGAAACGGCAAATGCTTTAACTGTGCAGATATGCTTGCTGGTCGGCTTGTTTGTATGCTATAGTGGCAGAAGCAAGTTGTTTCTGCTGCTGTATGCTTAGGGCTGACAACCTTTCCTTATGTTATAATCATATTCAAACCAATGAAAACTTTTGATTTTAATTTTCATTGAGGGGAAGAAACATACTTCAGGGTCCAGGATTGTGTTTAGGAGGTGGCTGTAGACCAAAATGACCGTCTTAAAATTGTATTTTTTTGGCTGCCTCAAAACTTTGATAAAACACTCTATGTTTTATGTGATAACTGTAAATGACCACCTAAAATTCAAAACAGAAGATTTTTAATGACATCTTCATGTATTACAGTTTATGATTTTAACAAAGGGAGTTAACTCCTTTTATTTGCACTCCATCTGGTCCCTAAACTATGAATAGAAACAGAATCATAAATGCTGATGATATCTTATATAAGGAACAGCTGTAAAATATTGATAAAATATCCCGATTTAAACTCTTTTTTTGCATCTACATTGCGCAGATTTTATAGATTTTTTAAGACTTTCCCTTAAATTTTATTTTAGTGAGTCATTGAAGTGAGTTTTGATAAGGAAGTTGAGCTAGATACACTGTTATATTGCAGGTGAAATTTAAGTATGTTAGCGAGATAACATTTGTTTACCATGTAATACCAGTATCTTCACTTTTCATTTTCATGAATTAATGTCATTTTTTTGGCATTTATATGTCATTTGAAAATTGTTGTTAAGTTAAGAAGGGGGGGGGGGCATTTTTTGTGTTACATTTTCTTGATATGAATTATTAAGAGTGATAAATTTTGTCAAATTAAATGTTTACCATTAATTTTGCTCTACTGGACAAAATACCCTTAGTAGTTACTGCCTATTCCCAATCACTTGGGTGCTTAGTACTGACCCTTGTGGCTGAAATTATGCAGAGGGTTACCTGAAATTTTCCTTTGAAAGTCACAATATGACCTATACTGTGTTCGTGCTACCAGTAATTTAAATCCAACTGAAAAAAACCACACCAAAAACAATCAGTTAAGTAAGCCTGTGACAGCATAGCTAGGAGCTTTCTGGACTCCTGGTGCCCATTTCAGTATGTAACAATGTGCCTGTTTGTGCCTGAAATAATGCAAAGAGGGGAAATTGAGGTCTTCCTCCACCAGTGAAGCTGGAAAGCGGCCAGATGGCTTATGACATAAAACTTACCCTGTAATAATAGGGTTTCTTCATACTTATGGTTGAATATTTTTGTTGACCATTAAATTATATGGCAATTTTCTGTAAAAAAAATTGTAAAAATGAATAAATTCACACGATATTGAAGTTTATGAGTTACATACGATATTATTATTGTTTTCATCTAAATCATGTGATAAAATATTATAATACCATTATATATATGAATATTTTACTTTTGTGACACTGTTATTATTTCTGTAAACTTTATGACCCCCAATTACATGTGATTGATGGCATTTAAGGTAACAGCTTTTATGATTAATATATAATAATTCCAGAAAAGGTCAGGGTAAATGACCTTCTGATCTGAAATTTGTCCACCTCTGCCAGTTTTGTCCAGAATTCAGTAGGAGTGTCAAAGTGTTAGTTATAATACACTTATCTGATTATATATTACTAATTTTATCTTTTATCTTTACTATAATGAAAAATTATTAACAAAAATCATAGTTAACATGTATTTGTGCCATGTGGATTGTATTTCGTTTAAATTGCATGGATATTATTATTAAATTTTATAGATTTTAAGTCTCAGAAGACTGTTGGTAAAAAAGGGGAGTTGCAACTGTTATGTGCTCATTTATCAAAGATTATGAAATTTGAGTTTATTTTTTGCCACTTAAATCACAGATAATCCACTGAAAATTAATCCTGAATAAATTGAAATTTCATTTTCAAAAGGCGGAATTATTGATAAACTTGACAGCTTAATATTCCCCCAAAAAAAGGGATTATAGAATATTTAGCAGGCAAATCATAATGAAGTGTCTGGCTGATAATTGTTAAGTCAGCTATGATTCATAATAATTATGTCGCAATGTATATTACGTCTTTGTCGTTTTATCATATCATTTAAGAGGAAGATATGTTAAATGACAGCAACGTTTTTGTATATGGTAATTCACTGGCTAAAATTTTGCAAGCTTGCAATTTCTGTGACTGAGGATATCATGATTTTGCTTTAATTCCATTGTAATGATCTGAAGTTAATGTTGGGATTTTTTGTTTTTTGCAAGCTTTAAGCATTTCAAATTTTGATGAGATTACTTGTTATTTCCTGAAATCAGAAAAAGATTTATTTTGTATTTAATTGATATAATGATTTCAATTACAGGTAGATAATTTCATGTATAAATTATGAGAAGTAAGTTATTTCAGACTTTCATTCTTATCCTTCAGATTTAGATGCCATACAGAACTTGGGCATGGACGGTCCAATGGGACCAGGGACCCTAAACTCTGCCCACAGTCAACAGTTACTTTCACAACAGGAAGTATGCCCAACATGCCACCTGCCATTTGACAAAGGGAAGAAGAGAAAGTTGACTGACACGTGCGGGCACGAGAGATGTTGGTCGTGTATGTTTAGCAGCAAGGAGGAGTGTCCCCTGTGTAATAATAGTAAGATTTTTAACTTGTATTCAAAGTCTTTGATATATCATTCAATTTTGTTGTAATCTGTGGTGGTGGTGGTGGTAATTTTCAATTTGGATCATAACAGTAAGCCACACTTAATTTACCAGAGCACAGTTCAACCATCACATTGTTCCTGGGCAGGCTGTCAAGCAGTTTATCAGTAGTAGTTGCCTTCACTTTCACAAGGAACTGAAACTTCTGTACATACCAGAGCAGAGGTACTGTGCAAATGACGGTAGAAAAGATTTCATGATCAATCACAACGAAAGTGATCAGTCCCGACAGTGAATCGAACCTGGGTTGCCCGATTCACAGTCAAAGGCTCTACCTATAGAGCTAACCGCAAAGACCTTTTTATAGTTTTAAAGTCAGCTGCCATTAGTAATTTCATACCTGCCCTAAAACTCAGATTTTAGTGGTTAAGACTTTTTCTTACACTAAGTGTTGTGAACTGTTATAATAGACCAGTCTTGATTCATTTTGAATAACAGCAAATCTATATTTTGTCTGGAACTTTTATGAAAATCCATATTCCATCATAATGCATATTGTCAAATGGTGGATGTACTTTTTCATATACTCTTTGACATTTTGCTTTGACCTTCACAATGAACAACAATAAGAGGAAAACTAGAACTGTGTCCAAAGGACACGGATGCCCCCACTGACAACTTATATATGGTATATAGTGAAAAAATCAACAAAGGGCCATAATTCTGTTAAATTTGGTCGCAGCAAAAATTCCTTCCTATACTACCATCTACACATTAAGGTTGTTCATCCCTGGAAGTTTAAGCAAAATCTGCCATCCGGTTTAAGAGGAGTTGCGTTCACAAAATTTCTATATGGTATATGGTGAAAAAATCAACAAAGGGCCATAATTCTGTTAAATTTGATCGCAGCAAAAATTCCTTCCTTTACTACCATCTACACATTAAGGTTGATCATCCCTGGAAGTTTAAGCAAAATCTGCCATCCAGTTTAAGAGGAGTTGCGTTCACAAGATTTCGGGACAGACGGACGGACACTCGGACGGACAAGTGCAACGCTATATGCTCCCACTCTGTGGGGGCATAAAAAACTCAAAGATGTTTCTCTGAACTTAAATAAATGAAATCAAGCCCAAGGTATTTATCCAGGAATTCCTTTTCAAGCATTTCCATCCATATAAAAGGCTATAATATGATTCATTCTCACAGAAGTTATTTTCCTGATCAAGTCAATGAATACACAAGATGATCCAATTTACTTACAAAACTTCTTTCAACTGAGACAGAAAAGACATTTATATTCCAGGTTATTTAATATTTGATGTTACACTTGATGTAGTTTATGTCCTTAACATCTCAACCTATCATTGTGCCATATTTATGAACGATTTTTTATTGTACAAAATATGTTATAAGGATGAGAATTATGAGGATTTGATTCCATGTAAAGACACTGGGGATCAAACTTTTCTCCATACCACCTGTCTATTAAGAATGTAAATTTCAAAGGTCGATAAATGACTCTTGCTGGATAGTTTCTTAATGATAGAACTTTTCATAATACTTTGAACCCATATCAAATCCTTAGGGTCACTTGTAAGAATCAGTAGGGTCCCTTTCAAAAAAAAGATTTAATACCATTTTTGTTTTTGAATGTTTTACAAGTTTATTATTGTTTGACATGATTTGACCTTGTAGATGTCCTTCAACGACAGCATAGTACGGGTAACTTGCGTCACAGTGCTGACCTAGGTCATAGACCCAAGGTGAAGACCAACGGTCACTTCACAACGTACATGCAGACGCGGTCAGACGTACCAGACAACATGTCACATTACCAAGTGCCGCAGAGAACTGGTAAGTTTTGCTTTATCAATCCTGCTAATATACAGGCTTTGTGTAAAAAGAACAAAACTGTTTGCAGACAATGTGGGGGAAAAAAAGAAGCAAAAAATGATAATCCCCTTACACACACAGGCCAAACAAATATGATTGTTAAGAACAGGAATTGGAGAAAAAGAAATCATTTTGATTTTATGAGGAAATTCAATTTGCAGTAATTTTGCCTTTTACAAAATGAAAATATCTAAATATCTCTTTACTTTTGTAAACTGGAAAAAAAAGAGAAATATTATAGCTAAAACGTAAGTGCAAGTCTATACAATAAATGTATGGTCTGTAATCAAAATTATAAGGTCTAAAACCTATTTCAATTTGTGGAAACTTTACCTTGTTATGAGGTATTGTTCCCCGTAATGCACACTTATTGTGATATGTTGTCTGCTGAAATACAAGGTTATTACGAGACCGTCAGACCGTCGGAAATTGTCATCAAGCGGAACTGTTATGAACGCTGTTGAACGGCAATCAATATTCCTGATTAAAAGTTAATAAACCAGGTTTCTTGTGGTTTGTTTATTCATTTTATACAAACTCCTGTGGTTTATTTATAAATTTACCATGAATCTGTCACCATTTGGTCACCATGAAAATAAGTCGATGAATAAAATGTCTTTGTGAATCCAATTAAATCGATCTGCAGTAGGCCAGGTAAATCGTGCTTGAAATTACCACCACTTGACCTGAAACGATGCTTGACGGCCATAATTAACTTGTTTTCATTATAATTAAATGCATAAATTAATCTTAATCCATACTTTTACCTGTAAGAGACACTGTGCTCTATGCATCCACTCTAGACATGTAAAATTTGTTTCAAATTCAAAATGTTAAGTGTTGTATATAATAGATGACTTGTATATGGATTATTACTGCTTAGAACGGCTGAAACTTGCGCACACAAAAAATTATTAACATGATGTTCTGCTATTTACTGATATGTATTTGGAAATAACCAGATGAATAAGACAGTTAATCAGTTAATTTAATTATGCCTGAATTATAAGCAATGGAATAAAATCAGTAAGTTTTTATTTAATTTATTAATTTTTTTTTACCTTAAATTAAAACTGTTTTGTTAATTTCGATTATTTTGACTTTTTCCATTGTTGTCACCATTGAACGGAAAAAATTAAGATGTTTACATATTAAAGGATAAATCTTCTTCGGTTCAGATGCTTTTTAAAGTATTAATTGAAGTTAACGATTTTTCTACAGCTGATAAAGTAAGATCCGGACAACCGTGGTGTCCTTAAAGTATTGTTATGGGAGAAAACAAAATCGCGTTTCTTGTATAAATCAATATGCAACATGACTCTGGTTACTTCACTGAAGACATCATTTTCAATTGAAAACACAAGATGATGTTAAACCATGGTGATAGAGGGAGTTTAGCACATGGTATTTCTTTTATTAATTTCTTGACAAAAAAGCAAAATCTTCAATGACATGCGAGTCTTGCATTAGCTCTGCCAGGCGGACGATTTAGTTCTGACTTAACTATTACATGAGTGTAGAGATATCTTTTATAAATTTGACTCAATATCTTAGGAGTTTATAGGAAGATTATGTGATTTTTTCATGCAGTGGAAATTGGAGTTTTACTGTTTATGCTAGTGAGATTTGAAATTTCTTCTACAATGTAGTACTTGATTCAGGAAATACAAACATTTGGATAGTTCTAGGTAACAAAAATAAATTTTATTTATAACATTCTTCATGTTAAATTTTATCGATTGTGATATTCTTTGATAAAATTCCATGTGAATGTCATATGATTTAAACAACTGTTTCTCACCAAAGTTCTTATTAATAGCTGAAATGCTCATTTCATTTATTTTTATCTTTAGATAGTTTATTCTATTTTGATTGGTTTGCATTGCAAGAGATGTACAGTTACCAAACCATGTTATTTATTTATTTATTAAAATTTTCTCTCAGTTTATAAATGCTTTAGAGGTTTTGAACAAATCTACATTATTAACTTTTGATGACTCATTTCCAGTGAACTGTCAAGTTTTCAATAATTTGCATGAAAGAAAATTTATCATTCTGCAAAATTGATGACATAATAGCCATGTTTCATTGATTTCTCGACTCCCAGAATGAACATGATGAATGAGTTCCTTGAAAATTTAATAAACTTTTTTGTACAAGCTTTAATTTTCCTCACAATTACACACTCCTATGAAATATTTCAGAAAATTTTAAGATTTTAATGTAATTTTTTTTTTATTTTTGATTGATTATTTTTTCTCACATGAACAGAAATTGGTTTTTCATGAAAAAATTACTGGTAATAACTTCTATCGTCCTTTATGGATATAGGTTATCTCAGTAATGTATTTCTCGGGTCAATGGTTTTGATCCATTGATAAATTTATATTACAAATTACTATAGCTACATCTTTTGAACAATTTATAAAATATAAGATCAGATCTAAATAACAGTTTTAATGTTGATCTGGTTCCTTTCTGGTTTATTTTTTATGAAAAAATTATCATATACTTCGAAACTCTGTGAAAAAGTTGTCATTAATATGTAGAAATAGATATTTTAACAATTGGAACAACTTCGTACATTATTGATAAAGCTTTGGCAAAAAAATGCAACAAAAATTCAACATTTTGAATGACGCAACATTGTATTTTCATACATATACTTGACCTTTAAGTTTAATTAATTCTAAAAAATGTATACAAAAGGACGTGTGAAGTATTTTGTTATTGGTGTGCAACCTTTCCTATATTAATCATAGAAAATCAATCAATTTTTAAAATCAATAGATTGAGAAATTGAATATTAAGATCTCATTGACTTTTGTATAATGTCTAGATAAAATGTAAATTAATGAAATTAATTGGAAATCAATCTTAACATAATTGTTGTAAAAATATAATGTTAACAATGAGTACAGGTAGAAAAACATGAAACAGATGTCAGGTGGAACTGTATACTTCCTAATAAATACACTAGCTAACAGGTACATATCAGCGTGTTTGAACATTAACTTTATTGCCTATTGTATGTGCATTAAGACAAAAAGGGGAAGAAATTGTTATAACCAATGTTTAAAGTGATTTGTATTGCATTAAATAGCATTATTTTTTATTTTAAAATAAAAAATTGTTAATTTCTGATATAGTTTTGACATCATTTTCATAAATACGGCTCTGTTTTTAAAGATTTTGCCACCCCCATCCCCCAAGAAGTTTCTTATGCATATACTTATTTGGTAGGTAGATAAGTGACTTTTATATTTCGTGGAGATTTTCAATACATGTACTAGAAGACTTATTTAGTAGGTATATGGTAAATGATGAAAGCATTCAAATTAGTTGTCTATGGCTGGAATGATGACTTTTGTATGGGGTTATGATTCAATTACTGCAACTGTAAACAAATTATCTAAATTAGCTGGGAATTTGGTGATGTTATGTTTTCTTCATTCATCCCCAGGTAAGACTTGATTAGCTATTTGGTCTGGTTTCCTGGAGAATAATGTTCTCTGGATAGGCACCAGGGCAAGCTGTTGGAGGTGATGAATGTTTTAGTTTAGGAAACAGTTGGTTTCTATCTTACATGTGAAATTTAAAAAGAACCATGTGTTAAAAAAAAGTATACATTGTGTAAATCTTGGATCTTGGATTGTGAAGATGTTATAGAATAGGATAAAAAAGGAAAAAGATTTCATAATATAGAGAAGAACAATGAAAAAAGGTATATTTTCATCATATGATTTAATCTGCATACAATAGAACTCTTAAGGTTGTTATTGTTATAATAGCCCACAGTCATCGCAGTTATGAATTGATTTGTCATATGATGTTAATTATATTCATTTGCTTTGTACATTATTGTAGACTATAATGACTATTAAAATGAATATAAATTACTGTTATATTGATTTCATGGCAATAAATTTCTATTTAATTAGCCGATCTTAATTAAAATATGGAATGCAGTCTGCATTTAATTTAAAACTAAATCTGAAGCTTGTGAAATGTATTCTTAAAGCTTTTTGATGGTACCTGTATTTTATGATTTCACAAAAGAGAAATGCATTTCCTGTTGATGAAATAAATTATTTCTATTCATATCAATTTTGGTATTTTGCTAAGCAGATTAATGCAAACACTAAGTTTTTTGCAAAAATTTAATGATTAGTAGCCCATGAAAAAGTGTCACATGTTTTTCTTTAAGTGTTCAGGATGGACAATATAAATAACCTATTAGTTAGAGCTAGTAGATGATTAGTGTCATTATATTCCCATCCTTTCAGTATATTTTTCCATGGGTCAGTCATAGGGGTCACAAGTCACTTTGAGTTCCATTATCAGTGGCTTGATCACTGGTATCAACATAAGATGTATATATGATTCTGTAACATATTTTACCAGTGTTTTACATGGTTTTAAACTGACATTTACTATCCATTATCCTCCAGGTTCAAACATTTGGAATATGTTCTGCTGTCTTTAACAGAAATACCAATTAAGCGGACTAGATTTATGAGGCAAATGCTTCTGTAAGACAAAATCAAAACTATGTATAGCAATTTGTAGGACATCTTTCATGGTCATCCGCTCAAAGCAAAGGTCATGTGTTCAAGACACAAACGTCTTGTGTTTTCAGATTAAAAGTATTGTGGTTTGTTGTTGTTGTTGTTGTTGTGGAATTGTTCTGGCATTTATATTGTCTTATAGCTTGTCAATTCTGGTTAAGGTCTTACAGTGTATTGAATTTCTTGACAAATATGTCAAAATGTTTGCAATAAATAATGGAGGGGAACACAGTTTTAAAAGATATTATAAGGGAGGCAGACTATTATGATGACTCTCTTAGGAATTATAGGCATATGTTAATGTTGATAGACGTTTTTGTGAGAAATAAATATGATTTATGTAATAAAAAGTGTTTCAAGAAAATTTAATCATGTTTTTCTGTATAAAGTCTTGTTTTTCACAAAAAATTTAATTTTAAAAAATGCATAATAGACACATTTTAAGAAAAATACAATGTTCACCTGGTTTTTTGAAAGTGTATTTGAATATATTTTTTCTTAAAATGAGAAATGAATATGCATATTCTTTTTCCAAAAGTGAAATTCTGTCTTAAGAAATGAGTATGATTTTTTTGTTACATTGTAAAAAAGAAATTGTTTTACAAAGAATGTAATAATGCATAGTGATTGGGTAGCATTTGAACTCTCCTATTTTTGTTAAGGATAAAGAGGTTCCCTTTTATCTTAACTTTACTCTGATAACATTATTGTCTCAGATGAATAAACAGAAAAATGCAATTAAGATGTCTGACAGTGAATGATTATAAGCTTATTTTTCACTGTCTACAGGATTAAACAATATTGCATACCCCATCTACCAAACTTGCAGAATCACTGTAAAAGGTGCCATCCTGAGTTTCATTTGGATTATTGCAGGAATTTTAAAAATAAAATATTTTAACTTAGCAGTCAACATAATTATATAACCCTTACCATGTTATGTATCCTAAATGAAATTGTTCATCTTTTTATTGGTACAAAACTATTCATAATTCTAAGGGAAATTTTGAAAAATGTACTGACTTAATAGCAAACAGTGCAGACCATGATCAGACGATACACTGACATGCCAGCTGATCTAGGTCTGCACTGGTTGCATGTTTAGGATCAGTTGCAACGGCCAGCAGGTTAACATTAGTTATAAGTCTGGTCAGACTGCCTGTAATAAAGGCATGTTGTGCTAGCTTTGTGCTGTTAGTCTGAATTCATTTTTTTGGCCTGCCACTATTCTGCTGCCTTGGATGTAGTCTGTATGCCGGACGACTCTGTTGACCTGATTTTACTCAGACTTGAGTCTGATGGCTTGACTTATATTTTGTTGGCCTGGCTTTTATTTGTTGGTCTGACTTTATTCTATTTGTCCTAGACTTCACATAATCACCATGTTAAAGTGTCAAACATTTTATACAAAACATCATGTTTAACAGAACTTATTACTGTTGTTTTTTGTGTTGTTATTTATGGTAAACAGTGTACAATATGTGTCTGGACTGCAAATATCCTTTGATCATTGTAATGGTTTATGTATGCCAAAAATAAATGCCAGCAAGTGTAATTGACTTGTTCTGTCTGATTTTATGAAGAAGAATGAAAGTACAAGTGTTAGGGTTATCTCTTTTGGGCGCCAAACATGATAATGACAGCATGACTTGGTATAGAATCAGACTGAGACCAGCAGTATGTATGTTTGATTATGTTTTGTCTGGCCAGAATTTCCAGGATGTTCAATAAATCACCCTGAACAATGGACTCTTCCAAAATCAAAGCAGGATAAGTCCATTTACAAATTTTTGGAGTAGGGGAAGGTGTAATGATTTCTTGGCCCTTTTGTATACTAGCCTTTCAAGGGTTGAGGCACAAGAATTGCAGCCATCGTTTATCCCTGTGTGATAGTAACAAGCATCTCAATGGGTAGGAATAACTGGATCTATGTATCTCTTAGCTCTAGCAGGGTGAGGTGATTGTGACCCCTGGTGTTGCTTTGAAGTTGGTAATGCCCGAGGTTAGCCAAAGTCATGACTTTCCTGTTTTGGCGCCATATGACACATATGACGTAAACTGTGTTGGTGTGCCATAAAACCAAACACAAAACAAGAACAATGATTAAAGGAGAAGCAATTAAGTAGAATCAAAACAATACATGTACAATGTACTCAATTTGTTCAAGGTTAATTCACAAGAATGAAACACATCATTAGAGCATGCTCCCAGTAATTTTCTATTTTCCTTAATAATGAAACTTCTAAAATGATCATATGGTATTAAAATGAATGACAGTAAAAGTATTACATTAGTGTTTGAAATAGAAAACCCCTGTAGGCAATGCAATAATTTTCAAACAATTTCAGATTCTCTGGATTTTATTTTCCAATTTCCATGGCAATCATGCACACTTGTTTCACGGTGTAACTCAATAATTTCTGCTTATTCTTACCGGTGCAATTGTAACAGCGACAGGTTGTAACACTTTCCGCGCTTCTTAAATTAATAATGATTATGTTTAAACATATTGTATTAAAATATGCATGAGGTCAGAATTTGAAATTAAACATTTCAGTTCTATTTTTAAAGCTGTTGTAAATGTATTGAGCCGTACTTCACTGGATTAATGAGGTTAAAGCGGAATTTATTTTCTTTATCGATTTATCGTTATAATGTTTATATTCATTTTGATTTTGGATTTAATGTTGTAATGGGAATCTATAGTTGCTTGATCTTCTCTGAATATGGGAACAAATATTAGATAATTGAAATACAAGTATAGAAAAGTCACTCCTTTTGTAGTATAAGTTTTCATTCATTTTCACCTCAAAATTGCGTGATTAAATCTAAATTGTTTTTATTTCCCCTTATGAATAGATTTGCATTGACATGCTCTGAGAAATTTTTAAAGTATTATTTGGTGAATTATTGTATACAACAAGTCATTCATGAAATATAGTAGATAAATATATGATTATTATGTTCAGTAATTTTCACTATTGGTAATGAAATATGTTTGATCTTTCTTGTTTAATGATAAAAATTTCACCAGTGTGAACAAGTCATTTTGAATCCCAGTGTGAACTAGTCTGTTTAAAGTTCTATTTACCATTAAATGATCCTGTTTTGAAAGCACTTGCATTTGATATATAAAGGAATGGCTTTGATCTACCTTGTTTTTCTTGGCACATTCTGTAGATTTAAATTCTGATGTAGATCATTGCAGTTTATTAATCAATTAATTAATTATGTACAAAAATATGTTTTGAGGTTTTTTTCATTCTTTTCCAACGAAATTCTTTTTGTTTGAAGTGAATTTTGCCTTTACTTCTAGTAATTATTGAACACAGTGCATTTTTCCTAGTATACCAGGGACAGTTTAAGGGCTCATTATAATGCACCGAAAAATTCTTTAAAACCATGCAGTTTCCCCACCTTAAGTTCTTTCTTCTCCTTCTGCCAAAAAATACCATTTTATTTTTCCTGGAAATTTAGGGGATGGGCCCCTTCCACTACCCCTGAAAAAATGCTCTGGAACAAATTTCCTCTCTCTACTGTTGAGCTCAATATTTGTATTTTGATATTAAAATACCTTTTACTTAAAATGGACTGCTCCAACTACAAAGCAGGACAAGTCTGTTATTTAGCAGGTTAATTTGCAAATCTTTTTGCTGATTCATGATTAATGGGAATTATTCTTTAGGTAGAAAAACAAATTGACATCATAATATGGTAGAGGTTGTAATGTAATTGATGTTTTTAAAATTGGAACATCAAAGCTGTCACAGGATTGGCTTCTCTTGGCAAGGTGTCCCAAGTGTTATAGGTTAATTATTGCCATAGATGATATGATATAGAGGGTTTGATCCTTGTATTGTAAACATAAAAAAATTAGTGAGAAAAAATGATTGCTTTAGTTTATACTAATTTATTTTAATTTTATTGTGTTGGAAGTTATAAGCTTACTGAAACATTCTTGAATCTGTTCCTGGAACCAACCAGTACTAAGAAATGAGTGTAAAGTTTCATGCTCATAGAATCAATGGCTTGCCCCTGTTGGGATTTGAACCCACGCAGTCACCAGGCATTAGATTACTATAGTGAAACATGTAAGCCACTTGGCCATGCCACCATTTGATGATTGCTTTAAATAGCAGTGAGTGATTGGTTAATATTGGGATTGATTTCTGAGTATCTGAGAAAGACACTGGTGTATGAGTCACATTGTTGAGACCTAACATTATTTACTGTGCCAAAGAAAAGTTGGCCCTTGAATGTTCTTCACTCAATGTAATTGCTATTCAAGAGGCATAGATGCAAATGGAAACACTTTGTTTGTGTAATAAAAGAGTGATTGCCATAAAATTAAAATGAAGTAAAGAAATATGTTTGTAATGTTTGATTTTATGTTTGATTTTGTAACACTTTGATTGGAACGAGGAGTTTAAATCTTCTGGGTGTGTTAAGTGCGCGGCAAAGATTTAGGAGTATTTAACCCGTTACAGCACACTGATAACTATCTGAGATGTTGTAATTTTAATAGCATTTTGTTACAATCATTAAATATTATGTGCATATTTCTGCCGTAATAAAGTTTTAGGAAAAAGATTTAATGCATAATTTCCGCTTGATATTATATAATGAAACTATTTACTATAACCTTGTGATATAATAGACCTGACACTGACATATTTTATCCTACAATCTAAAGTTATAACATTTTTGTCATAGTTTGTCCAGACATGTGCCAGGGAAAAAATAATTATGTGAAGTTGACTAATTATAATGGTACCACATGGGTCCTTCTATTTGCTCACTTTTTTCCGGTTAGGTTGTTTAATTCATACTGACACCTTAATAAGAGCACGTCACATTTTTCCATGTTTTACAGGTAAGGTGGTCCTCTGTGCATTATTTCAGGCACAAGCAGGCACCCACGGAGTAAAAACAATGATCTCCTGAAGCTTGCTAAGACATCACATAAAAATTCCATCTAACAAATTCTTTTATCAGTATCTTCCTTCTTGTCAAACCTCTCACAAGGATGCACACAGTTTCTGTATATTTCATATGTGTTTAAAAATATTTATTTCAGAAGAATATGGTGATTTACCTTTTTTTCGGTGGATTTATTTTTAAAAAAAAAAAGATTTTTAACAGAATAATGATGCGTGATTTGTTGTTTATTTTAAGGTTCAAGGATGCAACAAAGCCAGGTTCCAGCTTCTATGGTTCCCATGAAACCCAAACTAGCTACATCAGCATATCCCCAACAAAATCTACCTCCTTCAATGAAGAGTTACTCTCCACAACATCAACAACATGGTAGCCAATATACTAGGCATCAACAACAGCATGGGGATCCATACTACAGGTATTGTTACTATATATAAAAATAAAGGTACTGTCATTGATCTATATATAGAAATATGCAAATGAGGTAACCTCGTTAATAAAATCATGCAAAGTCAGCAGATAATGTTTAATCTGTTTGTTGACATGAGATAAGGGCAAAAATTCTTGAAATTGATCCAGAGGGCTTATTTATATCTTTTGCAAAATACAAATTCATTCAGATTTATTGAATGAAAGAAACTTCCTCAGGACTGTGTGGGGGCCATTCTTTGGTATTTAATTTCTCATTCATATCTGATATAATGCCAACTTTATTTAACCTTATTGGGATATTACAGTAACTAGTTTGTCTTTGATAATGACTGTTTACCGAGGCAATCTGTGGATATTATAGTGATATTATAGTGTGATATTTTTTATATATTTATAGCAGTGATTCTGCGCTTGGTTCACCAGACTTCAGCAGTAATGCCAGCGGCGGGGTCGCAGGTCACAGCCAGGATTTAGATGACCTCCCAGGTCATACTGATGTCCATAACACAGGACCAGTCGGTATGTATCAGAAGTGTTTAGTATCTTTTACTTAAAAATCTCGTGTTTCATTGAATTATAAAAAAATTAATAATTTTTACATTTTGAATGTGAATATGAAACTGTTAATGGTTTAACTTTTAGTTTAAGACTGTGTTTTTACCTAACTAAATGAAAATACTTCGTCATTCTTGTGTAAAACGAAAAGATAAATAATATAAATCGGTCTATTGGTATTTTCACATGAATTATACAGTCAAACCTGTGGTAAAGGCACTTTATTAAACCTGTGTCTGAAGAATTCCAGTCTTGATCAAAAAAAGTGAAGGAAAAAAAAAACAACTCTGAATGGTCATCTGATAAAAGCACTCACATTTCCATTTTATTAGACTTGTCTTCAAAGATGTCTGAATAAAGAAAGTTATTCAAATCTTATAGCTATTCATTTTGACGCTTTTTTTTCCAAAGGTAAAAGCAGCCCACCTCCACCACCACCTGATGTTGCCCATGGCGACCTCATGATGAGGTTAGGACTGTTGCTTGGAGACAAGTCAGCCAATCAGGTTCCAGAGCAAATGTCACATGGTATGAGAATGACCAATCAGCTTCGAGATGAGTCGTATCATACAGTATCTTCAATAGGAACCAGTGGGGATGGTACCCCAGATAGAGGAATCTCTGATACCAGTCCAATGTCTACACTAACAGGTATTTCATTTCTGCCTCGTTGAAATGATAGCCCCTGACATTACATACTATCCTGCACATCCTTGTAGTGTGAACACAATCTATATATTTTTATATTTAATTCCCTAAAATCAAATATTGTCAGTCCAAATTCATAGCTGGTCAGTTAGCGAAAACATCGGACTTTCCACCATCTTTGCCGTGTAAAAATAATTATTTATTTATGGAAGAGCCATTGTGATATTATTTAAATTTTGACAACAAATTAAACAATTTTGTGGGAAGGTATTGTCAGAGTCACACTTTAGCATATAACCTAATTGTTGCATAACAGCAACCTTCAAATATATGTCTTCGTTTTTTTTTTTTTTTTTCATGTAACAACTTTGACATAACAGATTTACAAATAAATAACATAGACAACAGTTATAAATGCTTCATAAAATCACTTGTACTGGTGGTAGTTTACACTGTCTGCATTTTGTAAACATTTTCAAATTTTGTCTGGAGAATATGACCACAAAGAAAATAAAAATGATAAAAAAGAATTGTTAAAATGAAGTCTGCAGAACCTTTTTTTTCTGCCCTGCTTTTCCTTTTCATTTTTTAATACATAATATGTAATGTATATTGCATAATATGTATATTGAATCCAACTATGTAACATCACTGAAAACAATTTTGTCATAAAAAAGAAGGGAGAAAAGAACATAGAGAAGGAGATAATATTGTACTTGATTAATGTAATCTATGAATTAAATGTCTTGTTATGTACAGACAGAATGAATCTATGATATTAGGTGCATGCATTATATACTTCAAATACTATAATGAATTTATGTGTTGGAATCTCTTTTGTGATATTGTTGTACACAATTCCAGAGTGTTTGATTAACAAAGTCAGTTGGAAAAATGCACTTTGATTTGTAATAGATATATAATTATGTAGCAGATGCCAAAAGCAAATGCTTCAACTCAGTCTTAGTGCTCTGCCAAAAAACTAAATTGTTCAAGATTGCATGGTTTGTGTTTGTTATTTGAAAAATAATCAAATCAGTAAAGAAAACAATATCAGGGAAAAAGTGTTTAAGAAGCAGAATCGTTTGAAAAGATAAAACTGTTATAGAAAAAAAAAGAAATACAGTGTCACCTCTACAGAGTGACCCTTTGTGTAGCAGTAATTAACCTCTTTACCTGAGACCTGCATGGAATATCCGCAAACCGAATGTGTTAGCCTCATTAAATAAAGTTGTTACTTACAATTACAGAATCGCATCTTCCCAAACTAATATTTTAAACTAAATTTAACCTGTCTATAGTAGCACCCCTACCCAACAACCAAAATCTTTGCTTTTGAAAGAGTGTTTCTCTGCAGAGGTTTTACTGTAAAAAAAAAGGAAAACATTCTGTACTTTCATTTTAATATATTTGATGAGTCATATACAATTTATTTATAATTTCAGCCTCATCTGGTAGTGATCGCGGCCACAGTAGCTTACACCCTGCCTACGGTGTTCCTCACCATAGTCGGGATCCGAGCACGGACAGTCTGGGGTCAATAATTAGTACAAGTACTGGTCAAAGTATTAGTCCACATGCCACCTCCAACAGACCACATTCTATCACAAGTAAGCACTGAAATTAATTCTTACATTACTCTCTGATAATAAATAGTAAGTAATGACTTTCATAAGTCACCAGTATGAAGTCAGGGCCATCTGAACATTCATGTTAACTGCTTAATTTTTAGCATTTTAATATTGAAACCTGTTTAAAAGAAACTGGAATCTGTAAAATTTGTTCCTAATATTGACAATGAACCTGTCAAAGTTCAGGGGACAAAGTCATGCAAAAAAAAATTGAATGTGTTTTAAGCTGAGAAGGAGAGGGGATGGGGTCTTTCTTTTATATTTTTTGTATAATAGATACCGGTAATTATTTTCTTCTCTCTTGCCTGTTTAGCTTCTACACCTGGTGCTATTGAAGATTTGAACTTATTTGGTCGCAAGTCTAAACTACGACGGTCAGCTAGAGCTACAATAGGCTATACTGATGATTCAAGATGTAAGTTTATCATTACCTTCTACCCTTTCCATGACATAAATGTTTTAAAGCTGCATGCCTCCAGATGAGCTAGTATATCTCAAGAAATTAAACTTGAGAAAAATTTACTAAGATTTTAAGAAAAGTAAAGATATTTTAGATTCAAGTAATAATTTACATGTTATGTCCAATATAGGACTGATTTTGCAGTATTTAAAATCATATTTCTACTGCGTTGCTAATGCAATAAGGGCTATTTTTGCTCATTTTGATCTCTTTTTGGTAATTGTAAGTGGATTGCAAGTGTTTGCATTATGTAAATTACTTCACAATATTTTACTTTTAAATACATATTTAAAATATTCATGAAAATAAGACTGAATCTGGAGGCATTGCTGCTTTAAAGCTACTGTGCCAAACATAAATGCTTCAAAGATACTGCTTACAATATAATTATATGCTTCAGTGGTACTATCTGTATCATAAGTGTTTCAAAGTATTGTCTGTATAGAAAAAATCAAAGATACTTTTCATTACACATTAAAATATATCAAATTTTCTTTAAGCATTTATTAGAAAAACTGTAAGGCAGAACTTAAATGTAGGCTATATTATGCAAATTTGATGCTGCATATATGTTGAGACTTACTCTACATTTTTGCTGCTTTTCCCTTGTGATAAATGTTCATACTTTGATTAAATTCTAACGGATGGACCACTCATTTCGAACAATTAAAAAAGTATGAATTCAGACTTAAACAATAAGTGTTTTAGAGAGATGGAAGTAACAAAATATGTGTAAAGCAATAAAGTGTATGTTGTAAGAGGAAATGAATGTAATAAATGTCGCAATAATTCCAGATTTACATGCAGTTATGTAACTACAACTGTCAAAATGAATATAAAATTTTAGGTATTTGTGATTTAATAATCTACATTTTAATACAGATAATATATGCTATCATATTCAGAATTCAGAACAAGAAGAAAAAAACATGATGTAACTGGCTTATGATTTTAATGTATTAGTTTAAATAAATGTAATATGTTAAGACCATCCTCTCAATGTTAATAGAGGCGCACATTGATAACCCTAGTCTCTTAAGCACACCAGGGGTCTCTGGTTTGATCCTCGAATGAGGCGTGATTTCTCTGTGACGATTGATCTTAGATATCGAGTCTGAGGATCATTTGTCTCTAACCCCTGATTCAGAACTCATGTAACTGCCTCCGTGGTCAAGGGGTTAGAGTCGATGACTTCGAATCCAGTTACCTCTCTGGCGTGGGTTCGATCCCTGGGAGATGCTTTGGTAGTTTAGCACAGAGGAAGGTAGTCTAGTACTGGTGTAACTCTCCAGGAACGATGGTTAGGAAACTACCTGCCTATATGACTGAAATACTGTTGGGGGAAAATGCGTAAAATGAAAAAAACAAACAAACAGAACTCATGTGAGATAAGTAGTCCCTTACTTGTGGAGAAATTAGAAATTACGTGTTAATTATCCAGGAAAGCCAGTAAGGTGGGTCGACCGCTGGAATTCATGTTAAAGTTGATGAGGAAAAAAACACCAGAAAGGAAAACTTTTCAGCCCTATCACACATAGTTATTGTTTCTCTTAGCATCTTCACTCACTCACTAAGATATTTGGTGTGTTGGTGTTTTCCATAGACCTGTACCCTTTGTGTAGGGGTATATGGTAAATTTGGTCAGTCACAGTCGCTTAAAATAGGTTTTCCTACTTCTCCTCAATGTAAGGCCATGTTTTAAGTTTTATCAAAGTGACATAGGGGAGCATATCATAGTTTAAGAGAGGATCTTGTATGATAATTTCTGTTTTATTTTTCAGTACGTATAACACCTATTCGACCACCACAGCTTCATGTTAATGCCATTAACTTTGAGATACCACATGCTGAAGGAACAGCCATGTTCATTGGACGAGAATGGATCTTTAAAGATATTGATCTGGTAAGATTGTTGTGCCTTATAATTGTTAAATATTTTTCTTGATTAATAATTTTTCTTATTTAGGATTATGACTTCATTAAATAATCTTTATCTATGTTATTTTATTATCATTATATAAATTGAACAAGAATTTATTGATAAAATGGAATGAATTCCGAAGTTCTGTTTTAACATTTTTCTGTTTACATCTGTCAATTACTAAAAAGTATGTTATATATCTTGGTCAATTTTACTGATGTTTTTACTTAATATTTGCACTTGAACAAAACTTGTCAATTATAATACTGGTAAATAGGTAAAAGGTTTGACAATATTGTATTTGTTAAATTTTATGATTGACTACTATAGTGTATGGTTTTACTATGTTTCAGTCATTGAATGGTGAACATACTAGTTCTGACCAGCCATCTGGTGTGATCATTGTTGGAGGTATTGGTAGTGGGAAAACTGCCATTGTAGAACAACTAGTGGCTCATAGTTGCTTTGGTGATGGCAAAACCGGTCTAGTCCAGGGTGAGTAATCTCAGATCTTGATGTTGACAATACTTATTTGAAATTTTATCTGTTAAAAATAGTAGCAACCTCAAATAAACCTTTGATTTTTGGACTATTTCTGTAAGTGTTTTGTGATTGAAAATTATATTTTATATGAATGTTATGTTTTTAGAACCATATGACCATTGTTTAGTGGAATGAAGGTTTAGAACCAGTTTTTGGATGAAAATGTATAATTGATCTTGTCAAATCTTTGATGAAAATATGTGTGCATTTAGGTTTGTTCTCCCATGCCACCAAATTAATTACTATATATAGGCAAGCATATACTTCAATTATAACTATTATAATTTGAGGGTGCTGAAGTTTAATATGCCTAGAAATTATGCTCACAACTTTGAAATTTTTTTAAAAGTTTATGCATTTTCTTTGCACTTTTGTATTGAGCATTTGATATGGTGGAGTAAAACATCTTTTTTACATGTTTTCAGCTCCTACAAACAGGCAAGGTGATAGGTTATTGAATGGTGGGATGAATTACAGCCCAACATCAACACTGAATAAACAGCAGAATTTGAGTGGTTCAAATAATAGTCTTAATTATGACGCTTTACGAACACTAGGGTCACAAGTTGTGGCGTATCATTATTGCCAAGCTGACGTCAATGTGACGTGTATGGTGCCGGAGTTTGTTCACAGTGTGGCGGCGTATCTTGCGCACGCTCCACAGCTGTCTGCGTACAGAGAACTTTTGCTACAAGACACGCAGTTACAGCATATATTAAGTCTGAAACAGTGTGTGCAAGATCCGTCTAGTTCGTTCACTAAAGGAATTTTAGAGCCGCTTGAACAATTGACACAAAGTGGGAAAATGGACGCTGATACGTGTTTGTTAGTCGTGGACGGTTTAAATGAGGCGGAGTTTCATAAACCGGACTACGGTGATACTGTGGCTTCTTTTATCGTACGCCATATTGAAAAATTTCCACGATGGCTGAAATTAGTGCTAAGTGTACATAATAACATGATAGAGATTACAAATTCGTTGCCGTTTCCAAGGATATATATAGACAAAGTTGAAGGCAATGAAATGTTAGTGAGAGATCTGCAAGAATATGTGATTCATCGAGTGCAATCCTGCGTTCAAATAAAACGCAATATGGCTTTGAAAACATTAGATGCAACTACGCAAGTTAAATTCGCTTCGTACGTTCAGGGTCTAAGCCACGGGTCTTTCTTATTTTGCAAACAAACGTTAGATTTAATAGAGCAAGGGCAAGTTGTGCTTAAAAGTTCAAACTACAAAATTTTACCGGTGACTTTATCAGAAGTGTTCCTCTTACAGTTTAACATTAAATTTCCAAGTGTGAGATCTTTCGAAAAAATTTCGCCAATACTTGGTGTATGCCTTGCCTCCCTCTATCCATTGACTGGGGAAGAAATTTTCCAGGCCTTGAATTCAGGGTTTACAGACAGATACGTAACTTGGGAAGATTTTCAGCAAAGGCTAGGGTTAATGTCAGGTCTTTTGTACCAGAGGCGGGATGGCACTTTTGTGTTTTTCCATCCGGCATTCCGAGATTGGCTGATTCGCCGTGAAGACTCAGATAACAGTACAAAGTTCCTCTGTGATTTAAGGTGAGCATTGAAACATATTTCTTTTTTAGCTCGACTATTCGATAAGAATAAGTAGAGCTATTGCAGTCACCCGAGCGTCGGCGTCCGCGTCCGCGTCCGCGTAACCACTTATGTTAAAGTTTTTGTAATAGTTCAAATATTTTCAAAGTCCATTGACATATGGCTTTGAAACTTTGCACACTTGTTCACCATCATGACCCCAACCTTTAGACAGGAGGAGGTAACTCTATCAAGCATTTTGACAGAATTATGCCCCTTTTTCGACTTAGAATTTACGTTAAAGTTTTTGTAATAGTTCAAATATTTTCAAAGTCCATTGACATATGGCTTTGAAACTTTGCACACTTGTTCAGCATCATGACCCCAACCTGTAGACAGGAGGAGGTAAACTCTATCAAGCATTTTGACAGAATTATGCCCCTTTTTCGACTTAGAATTTACGTTAAAGTTTTTGTAATAGTTCAAATATTTTCAAAGTCCATTGACATATGGCTTTGAAACTTTGCACACTTGTTCAACATCATGACCCCAATCTGTAAACAGTAGGAGGTAACTCTATCAAGCATTTTGACAGAATTATGCCCCTTTTTCGACTTAGAATTTACGTTAAAGTTTTTGTAATAGTTCAAATATTTTCAAAGTCCATTGACATATGGCTTTGAAACTTTGCACACTTGTTCACCATCATGACCCCAACCTGTAAACAGGAGGAGGTAACTGTATCAAGCATTTTTTTTACTATCAAGCACTAAGAATAGTCGAGCGTTGCTGTCCTACCGACAGCTCTTGTTAATTATTCTATCAGTTTTTCTAATTGAAGTTTTTATTAAAAATTTAAAGACAATTGTCATACAGGGTCTGAAATAGTCCCCCATTTTTCTTTTTAAAAAAGTATTTTTTCTGCCCCTACCTTGATTAAATTTCTTCTAAAATAATGAATGAAAAATTGTTCAAACTGAAACTTTAATTTTTTCGGTAATTCTTGATATTTAAGAATTACATTTTGTTGTTTTAATTTTTCATCAGAAAATTTAATTATCATTTATAATATTGCTTTTACTTTTTCCTCCTATGAAAGTTATTTGTGATGCAGTCTTTCAATCCAAAAGGTACCGGAAACCATTCCCTGCACCCTAAATCCTGAAAAATATCAATAAAGATTAAAACCAAGCAGTCATTAAAGAAAAAATATACCTTTTTTCCCCAAGTAAAGGAAAAGTAATTCAAGGAAAAGTAATTCACTACTTTTTAATTTGACATGTTAAACAGAATGAATTACATGTGCATTTTAACTAATATATTTTCAGGCATGGACATGCCCTCCTTGCATTCCACTTATCTCGTGTGGTGGCTCCGTTAAACTCTGAGAAGACTATAGAGCTCGGACATCACATTCTGAAGGCACATATTTATAAGAACATTAGTAAACAACGTGGGTACTCGTCACGTGATATGCAGGCATTCTGGGTAGCTCTCAGTGCTGACAACCTTAGTGGCTCTCTAGTCTCATTGCGCAATCTGTACTCTCCTAATGTGAAGGTAAGAAAAACATACTGGCATTTTAAGGAGTACACAATAGTGATTGAGATAATTTCAAAGGAATAGAGGGAGGGGGAAGGCAGCGTTAAAATTGATATCTGTTAAATTTAAGTGTTCACAATCTTGTATAATATTGATATAAAAAAATTGTTAAACTTTAATAGATGTATTCTAAATGATTTTGAAAATTATACCCTTATATAAATGTTAAGTTTGTAGTGTGTACAAGGTGGAAAACTTGTATTTCTTATTATTTCTACTGGTTTTAATGAAGGAATTTTCAACATGATCTCATTTTTATACGCCCGTTTGAAAAACGGGACGTATTATGGGAACGCCCCTGGCGGGGCGGTCGGGCGGGCGGGCGGGCGGGCGGCGTCCAATTTTGTCCGGAGCATATCTCCTACATGTATGGAGGGATTTTAATGAAACTTCATATAAATGTTCACCACTATGAGGAGCAGTGTCGCGCACATGAACCAGGTCTCTAGGTCAAAGGTCAAGGTCACACTTAGAGCTCATTGAAAAATGCTTGTCCGGAGCAAAACTTCCACATGTATAGAGGGATTTCAATATTACTTGGCACAAATGTTCACCATTGTGAGGCGGAGTGTCGCGTGCAAGATTCAGGTCCTTGCGGCCAAGGTCAAGGTCACACTTAGAGGTCAAAGTTCAGATAAAAATATGAAGATGTGTATATGGACCATTTAGTCATCATTTATTGAGGGATTGTAACACAAATGGTCATTATCAAGACTATGGCTGTGATACATATAATTTAGGTCAATATATACAAGGTCAAGGTCACTAAAGATGATGAAATATCCAGATTTTGTAAATAGAATTTAATCAAAGGGAGACAACAAAGTTATTACTTTGTTCATAAATGACTTACACAATTACTCCCCTTGATCTATTTTCTAAAAATAGAATTTAATCAAAGGGCATGAAATAATCCTCTTTCTTGGACTTGAGTATGTTGTAAAGAATGTAACATTTATTTACACATGTTTCATTCATTGGTCAAGATACTTAACTGTGATAACTATGGTGTTCTGTAGACTTGGTATTTGTTCATAAAGATCATACAGTAATTACCTTATCAAATGTAAATACTTTCTCATAGAAATTTAATTATATTTTAATTTTCAAGTAAATATCAGTTCAGCTCATTCAAAGATTAAGAATTGTAATGAAATGTATTTCCCTAGACTAAAATCTTAAATCAGAATTTTTTAGTTATTAAATTACATGTACTTTTTATACGCCCGTTTAAAAAAAGTAAAAATATGAAGATGTGTATAGGGACGATTTAATCATCATTTATTGAGGGATTGTAACACAAATGGTCATTATAATGACTACGGCTGTGACACATGTACTTTAGGTCAATATATGCAAGGTCAAGGTCACTAAAGATGGTGAAATATCCAGATTTTGTCTGGAGCATATCTCCTACATGTATGGAAGAATTTTTATAATACTTTATGGAAATGCTCACCACCATGATATGTATTGCTCCATGCATGATCCAGGTCTCCAGGTCAAAGGTCAAGGTCACACTTAGAGCTCATTGAAAAACGCTTGTCCGGAGCAAAACTTCTACATTCATAGGGGGTTTTCAATATAACTTGGCACAAATGTTCACCATTGTGAGGCTGAGTGTCGCATGCAAAATTCAGATCCCTGCGACCAAAGTCAAGGTTACACATAGAGGTCAAAGTTCAGATAAAAATTTGAAGATGGTTATAGGGACCATTTAGTCATCATTTATTGATGGATTGTAGCACAAATGGTAACTATCATGACTACAGGTGTTACACATTTAATTTAGGTTAATATTTGCAAGGTCAAGGTCACTGGAGATGATTAAATATCCAGATGTTGTCCGGAGTGTATTTTCTACATGCATGGAGGAATTTTAATGTTACTTTTATAGAATTGTTCACCACCATGAGACGTAGTGCCCTGCACATAAATCAAGTCTCTAGGTCAAAGGTGAAGGTCACAGTTAGAGCTCATAGAAAAACACTTGTCTGGAGCAAAACTTCTACATGCATAGAGGGATTTCAATATAATTTGGCACAAATGTTCATCATTGTGAGGCTGAGTGCCGTGCATAAAATTCAGGTCCCTGCGACCAAGGTCAAGGTCACACATTCTGTGCATATCTTCCCTATTGATTTGTTTTAAGGTTCATTTAACAACACAGTGCCAAGAATAAAAACTTGCTTGCTAGATAACACTTATCCATAATGCCCCCATCTCCATCTAAAGCTTTTTCGTAAACGGGCGTATTTTGTGACTATGGCACCCTTGTGTTCAATAAGAATTGCCAGAAAATACATTGTATAATGCATAATGATAATGACCTCATAGTCGGAAATATTGTTTATACAATTCATATTCCTGAATGAGACAAGTATATTTTTGTAATATATATGCTAATAGTATAGTAATTGGTGGACCAGAAATCGTTTTTGGCACAATTTAAAGCAATTTGGCACCCTTGTAGACACTAAGAGCTCAGCTTCTGGAGAACTCTTGGTGCAAAATTAAACCAATGATAGTTTCTTACTTTCTGTAATAGATAATTGATGGTTTCTGGTATAAACCTCTTCAGACATAATTATTTTGTATGTTATAACTTTTGGGAAATTTGAAAAATAGAAAACTAGTAATAAGGTCCTTATAGGGTATAAAGCTATATTTTATGAAATATTTTTAAGAAATTAATCAACAGTAAAATCATATTGTTCCCATAATCTTAGTCGAATTTTGAAAGAGTTGAATTTCTCTGTTATTTAACACACATGAATATTGTACGTAAACAGAATGTAGTGTATGAGAACACAATATTATTTTGCTATTATACAAGTTTGGTTTTATCCGTTAAGTAATAATTTTGAGCAGCATGTGCCATTTGCTATAATAAGACAATTAACTATCATATATCTTTCATACAAGTATGTTGAAAGCATTTTATTTTAAAACTCAAAATGCAGCATATATATATATATATATATATATATATATATATATATATATATATATATATATATATAGGGTAAATTATATTGATTTATCAAAAACATAACATTAATAAAGTATGAAAAGATTAATTATTATATTGATTTAACAAAACCTAAAATATATAATGAAAGGGTTAATCATTGATTTATCAAGGATTTTACTTTTGTACAGCAGAAGGGGTTAATTATATTGATTTAACAAAAACATAACATTAATAAAATATGGAAGGATTAATTTTATATTGATTTAACAAAACCTTCAATATAATGAAAGGGTAAATCATATTGATTTATCAAGGATTTAACTTTTCTACAGCATGAAAGGGTTTTAAAAAATATATTGATTTTGGGGGAAATTATATTGATTTATCAAGGATTTAAAACTGTTGTACAGTATAAAAGGCTTAATTATATTGATTTTAGGGTAAATTATAACGATTTATCAAAAAACGTATTGTTTTATTTTTAAGGTGAGTCGTCTGATACTACTATCTGGTGCCAACCCCAACACACGGACCGTGTATGAGGATAATTCACCCATACTCTGTATAGCTGCCAAGGAAGGTCTCACAGACATGGTGTCATTACTGCTAGAGTTTAATGCCAGTGTTGACGCCGTGTCCGACACCGGAATGTCAGCACTGTGCTATGCTGCGGCTAACGGCCATGCTGATATTCTGAAAATGCTGTACCTTAGACATGCAAAGGTAAGGAACATTTTGTGGTGGTTAAAACAGACCAAAGGTCAAACAATGTCAAACATGCTACAAGACTCTTTGTGTTATCAGTCTGTTTATGTGGTCATGCATTTTTTATGCCCAAATGGGGGGTAAAGATTTGCCTCTTTAAATACATGAGTCCATTAGGCTGTCGGCATGTAGACTAACAAAACAGTGAAATGGTGGGGCAGGCATATCCTATGGACATATCTTGGGAGTTTTTTTTGCAGATCTTTGTTTGTTAAAAAAAGCAAGCAATTTTTATCACTTCAGAATGATGCACAATTGTCTCTTCTTTGATAAGATACAGTGTGAAGCTATTGTTAATGAATAGTTTCTTCAGCATCTTATTCAGACTGGTCTATCTTAATCACTTTTGAAAGAAAATCCTTACCAGATTCCCATGTGTATAAAATAAACATGGTTCTCTCATCTTCATTTTCTATGCCCCAGTTCTCCAGACTTGTGTGACAAGAGTTTTCTATTAATCATTTATTCTCCCAAACACTATTTGATAAAGCCTGTTAAGGCCTTAACAAGGAGAGAAATTGCCAACTAGATTAGCAATTGTTTGTGGTACTTGTGAATAAAGGCATTTTGTAGTGGGGGAAAAGAAAAGAAACAGTATTTGGAAAAGTTTCATTTTTTTCGAAGTTTGTTTGTTTACATAGGACAGTTAAATCACAGGAACTTGAAATTCTATTAAATAACCAATATTATGGATAATATCTAAAAAAAAAATACCCCCTATATATAATAGTATGTTTATTGATACTTTATAGAGGTATTTTTGGATATTATCGTTTATATTGGTTATTTGATAGAATTTCAAGTTAAAATGGTCTGGTTTATGTTATTTATCTTTTTTGTGACATTTACTTGACTGGTTTGTCTCATATATACGCATTATACACATGATCAGAGCTAGTAAATGACATTGGATATTTTCTCCATAATATTCTTGTCATAAGTAATCCTTTATCATTGAATATGCAAATATAGGACTGTTGAATTTGTCCTTATGAGGAATTCATGAAGCTTGCATGCATAATATTGGAGACTCTGCCTAAATCATGGTTAGGAGCATGGTTTTGGCCTAGGAACATGCTTTTGCTTGACTTGTGATAATGTTTAACCTTTAACCTTTTGGAACCAGCATGCATTCTGACTAGGCTCTATACTGTTGTTAGCTCAACTTTTGTATTTTGATATTGAAATCCCTAAAACTTTGAATGGACTGTACCAAATTCAAACCATGGCAAGTCAGTTGCACAAATTCAGCAGGTAAAGGATTAAAAGAGCATCCCAGAACTTTTCCCACTAGCGTAGCCAGACATATCACAGTGGGTCTTATGCATCTACTTCCTGTGTTTGCAAGAAAAGACACATGTTGAATTAAATAAGCTTGCAATGAAACGTAGGGTGATCGGATGTAACAGACTGGTGCATGTGATCATAATAATCAATACATGTTGAATTATATAGACTTTCAATAAATGATACAGTGACTCGAACTGTGCATTTGCCATATCACATACTAAGTAAAAGAAAAATGATATTATTTAAGAAAATTCAAAATATTTCTTGTTTCTTTTTCAGATAAACCATGTTGACAACAGTGGTCAGTGTGCCTGTATTCATGCAGCAGTGAACGGACACCTTGACACGCTGGTATATTTACTGCAATGTGATTGGATAATCAATGAAGGTCAGGTGACCAAGGTGGAAGCTATGCAGCAGTCATTTATCGTAGCTGCGGCTATGGCACACAAAGATGTAAATATTTCTCATTTGCTTCATTGTTTTTGAAAATTGTGGAACCAACAAATAAAATTTTATTGATATATTATTACTTTCATACAGAAAGAATACTATTTTATCTTTGATTTTATGTGTAATTTTAAGGATGTCTTACAGATTTTTGTTTTAGTCCCATCAAGGGTTTTTGATTCATTCACCTTCCAGCCAGTTTATAGAATGATGATGGTTTTTCTTAGGTGCCCACTCATACCTTAAGTAATGCACAGCAGGGCATCCAATGTCTTTCTAAACCAGCATTGCTGAAGTCTACACGTGACTTGGCATATCTTAAAATAGAGAAAAACAGAATCCCTAAAGAAAGCCCAACACAACAAAATTGAAAATGTTGCAGGCTCTGTTTGATTGAGCCTGTTCATGGACAGTACTGGAAAGTGCAAGTTACCGTCCACGCCCCCTAGCACTGAAGAGAGATTCACCGAAAGCAATATGCTAAATTATTAAAGTTGCATGTAGTTTTTCTATTCTGTAGACTAATATGGAAACATAAAATCTGACACAAATGTTATTATGTTATTTAAATTGTTTACCAGCCATAATGATTTTATTATTTTCTCTTCATCTATAGATCTGCGAGTTCCTCCTTCATCTTAACAGAAATATTCGTGATGGTTTTGGCTTAGATGTAGTCGACACCTTGCTGGGAGAAACTCGTAAGTATTACTCATGTATATCATAGTTACGTGAAAATATGATTGTTACCACAGTAGAAATCAAACTTCTGAAAAAAAAATTTGGAAAAAAGTGATCCCTCAGAAGCATTAATCACAAAAAAAATTACATGAAAATTGCAGACTCGGTTTGATTGAGTCTGTTCATGATGGGTAATGAAAAAATGCAACAACCCTCATGCCCCCAAGCACCGGCTTGAGTTATACTTAATTTTCAACACTTTAAAAGTGCTGGAATCAATGATCCCAGGGACCAGAAAAATATAACAACAACACTATAACCTCAAGTTTGAGAGCAAAATATTATAAGTAATAGGCCACTACTTCTTTCAGTACATGTTTATTGACTTACTTGAAATTGTAGTATGTTTGTTAAGAAATTTGAATCTCGAACTTGTTTGCTTAAATTTGTTACAAGTCAAAAAAATATTCAACATTTTTTGCACAGTGACTCTTAAAATGATGCAGTTTGGAAGTTGTTATATTGAGAAATTATCTCCCTTGTAGCATTGACAGCAGCCTGTTTGAATGGACGTAAGGAGATAGTTCTGTGGTTATTAAAGACAGGTGCTAGCCCTGAAACAACAAATATGAAGTCATTCAGCCCATTGCTGTGTGCTGTAGAAGCTGGGAAGTGGGAACTTGTGGATCTTTTGCTTTCTTTGGGTTCCTCGATTGAGCAGACGGACAAACATGGCCGCACTCCACTGATGATTGCAGCATACAAAGGTCACATCGGAGTCCTTGAGATGTTGTTGTCAAGAGGTATGACTGTTAATTCATGATTTGAACAAGTTTGTAAATAGTTTTCTTACCAAAAATAGAATTGTTAATTTGTTGTCTGCTCTGTGTAACATACTGATTGAAAGTTTGTAAAATTATTCCACATCCTGATTTTCCTTTAAATACAATTTAGTTTACTTTAATTGTAAAAATTGTTCACTAGGTTTAAATAGGAAAAAACTTAAATTTATTAATCTTTTGGATTAATTTTTATCTTTGGCAGTTTTAGTATTTCATTTGATTTCCTAACATCTTTGCCACTGTAACTTTATCAAATTATCAACATGTACTTCATTAGGAGCTTCAATCCACAAGACAGACAAGGAAGGTCTGACTGCACTCTGTTGGGGTTGTTTAAAGGGTCACCTACATATTATACAATCCTTGTTGGACAGAGGCTCGCACCTACATCATGCAGACAGATGTGGTAGAAGTCCACTACAACTAGCAGCTTTCCACGGTGATGCTCAAGTGGTAAGTTTGGTTAAAATCAGAGACCTTTCATAGTTTAACTAGATAATGTCAGGCAACAGACAAAAACAACTAAATTTGGGATAACATCATAGTGCACAGGTCCAGGCGAAATCTGTTAGTTATTATTAACTATCAAATGTAGATATTATTAACCATTAAATGTGGTAGAACTTTTGGGGCAAACTAAAGTCTAAGAGAGTGCTTTTAGCTATCTGTGTGGCTGTTTTCTGTTCTAATTTTTTATTCTAATAATTTATAAATTTAAGTTTTTAAAATTTTTATGGATTTGATCCTGTTACGTTTTTTTAAAATATGCCATTTATATTCTTTCTTTTCTGTCTTAAACCTTTGAAAAATTTTGCCCTTTTTGGTCGTATGATGCCAAGGTCCCCAAAATTAAACAAAATGATCTAAATGGATGAGAGCGTTAGACCGTGCCATTGATCGCAGGAATACTGCAGTTGTGGTCTGCTTCTTACGTAAAGGAGCCAAACTAGGTCAGATGACGTGGGCAGTTGCTTCCGGAAAACCGGACGTTATGTTACTACTCCTTAATAAATTGATGGAAGATGGAAATGTCTTATATAGAGTAAGTCATGACTAACATTTTTAACATTCTCCAATATACAGAACGGATGATATGGCATCGTTGTGGTGTTTTATTTTCTAAGATTTTTGCGTCTTCGTTGTTTGTTGCTCGTTCTGTTGTTTTTCGGTTGCAAAAAAAGGGAATAATGGGGGGTTTTTTTTTTTTATAAGCCTCATATAGTTTTTCACTCTTTAATGATTATGCTATCTGTGTAAGATTAGTCTCCCTTCTTCGTTTTGTAAAAAAAGAAATTTATACCTTAAACACACCTATCTAAACTTTGTTTCTGAAATTTTAAATTTGATTGGGAAATAATATTATGTGTTTTATGATAAGAAAAATCATGAGATATTATTAATCTGTATCTGTTGTCTTTGTTTTCAGAAAAATCGTACAAAAGAAGCAGCTCAGCGTTATCAGTATGCCTTGAAGAAATTTCCACAGGAAGATTTTGGTGATGATTACAAAACATTTAAAGAAGTCAAACTCAATTTGATGCTGAATCTCTCCAGATGCAAGCGAAAAATGAATGTAAGTGTGATTTTATACTCATACGAGTATTTTCAACTACAGTACAGTCAATACAATGTAATCTAAGGACCTTTAGTCATATATTTTAATTATTTGTTTGATTAGATGACAGATTAGATGAATGATTATTTTGAAGCAAATTTGATTCTTATCAAGCAACTTTCTAAGTAACCAAGCTTTGCGTTTGTCTGAATAAAGTTAATAAAGTAACTAGTTTCTTGTACATTAATGAAAGCAGTGGGTTTTTCTCACTTGATTTGGAAGAGTCCTTAGCCTCTTGTTTTAGGGGGAAATTATTGCTAAAGTTGCTTATTTGGGAAGTAAAAAAGCTTGTAAATGTTCTCAAATTTTGGGGAAAAGCGCATGATTTTAAAGGAAAATTTCACTTTGGATGAGGCCTCTGTAATACATGTACATGTATAAGATGAAAAATAACCGGAAAGCTAAAGATAAGAAAAGATTAGAAAGATAAAACTATATCTGACATTACAATTCACTTACATTGAGTAAATACATTATTTGTAATCATTTTCAGGATTGTGATGGTGCAATAGAGCTGGCATCCAAGGCCCTTGAATTAAAACCTAAATGTTTTGAGGCATACTATGCTCGTGCCAGGGCCAAGAGGGATCACAGGTGAGCAAACATTTTTTTATATCCATGTTGTGTTCCATAGGTCATACTTGACATCAAATTATTCATTGGCTCAAAAGTAATCTTTTTTAGACTTGTTTAAATATTGTAACAAAAAAAATATACCTCCCTGACCTTCTCCAATGGTTAATAGTTTAAGACATGACACAGTAATTAATGGATACAAAATTTTTTACTCAAAACATGTATGTACAGTTTTCCAATAAAATTTTAATAAGAGAATTTAATGCATATAAATTAGGAATTTTCCATGTAGTTATATCATAGAAAATATCTATATTTAAAAACTTTATTTAGCAGTTCTTTTACATATAAATGTATTGGGTGTTTGTTCCAAATAGAAAATCCTTTTACTGGGAGTCTATACGTGGTTAAGTTTTTATTGGGAATATTCAAACAAAGGTGGCACTAGAGTATAAAAAAAATTTAACATAATTTTTCCAATTTTTGTAGACTATACGCATCAGCCATGGAAGATCTGAAGGAAGCTTTGAAACTAGCACCAACCAATAGAGAGTTACAGAGACTTCTTGTGCGTGTGCGAGACGAGTGCCTGGAGCAGGCAAGGAGTGAGGAAGCACAAGACTCGGACGAGAATAGAAGATCAAATGAAACAGCTTTGTGAACAATGATCAAATGCTAGAGAACATTGTCATAGAGACCTTTAATGCAAAGTTGATACTAAAGATATGGAACTGCTACTCATGAAATAAGTTGATACTGAAAATAGAGAAGTAGAACTCGTAAAATGAATTTCTGTTGAAGATAAAGAACTAGTACTGATAAAATAAGTTGACACTAAAGACAGAGGAGTACTCAAAAAAAAAGTTTATACTAAAGATAAAGAAAATAAAGTTGGTCCAGAGGAGAACAATGTCAAAAGCACCATTACTAAAAGTAACTTGTAAAATAAGTTGAAAAAGATCATACACTGTAATGATAAAGAAAATGTTATCTTTAGATTAATGTGAGGAAAAAAGTGGAAAAAAGTTGCAAGCAAAATATATACATTATTGTCTTAAGGAATAGTTAGTAAACCCTGGATAAACTATGCTACAGAAGATTCTAGATCATTTTTTAGAGTAAGGGTCAAATTCTGACAACATACATACATGAACGTTGCTAGATGTAGATGCTATGCTAATTTTCTGTAACAAATTATATTAACAAGGACAATAAAGAGTATATGCTATACAGGCAGCTTTGTTGCGAATTCAAAGAGTTAAAGACGTGCAATAGAACACATTGTCTTCATTCATATAAAACATTTTGAAGTGTCTACTTCTGTGTTTACATAACAGTAGAAATTTCCTGCATTGATTTGCTTATAAGCTCTTTGTTTTTTAAGCTTTTTCACTTTGTCCGATTTTTTCGGAATTTGTAAAAACCATGCTTTTCTTAGATATTTTTTATGCTTCATTCATTTTGATAGTTTTAACTATAGAATTTATTTCGGTAACTTTTTATTAGAAATTGTGATTTTTTTACTCATTTTTATAAATACAATTTACTAAGACACCAATGTGTCATACCTTTTTTCAGGGGAGGCAGGCACTGAAATTGTTTTAAGGAAATAGATTTCATTGAATAGTTCATTAAAGTCATCTTACACATGTATAGATACCATGTGAGAGAATGTCATTTTACACATGTATAGATACCATGTGAGAGAAAGTCATCTTGCAAATGTATAGGTACCATGTGAGAGAATGTCATTTTACACATGTATAGATACCATGTGAGAGAATATCATCTTGCACATGTATAGATACCATGTGATAGAATGTCTATGTATTGATGCATTAAGATAAAATGTCACTTGGTAAAATATGAGCACCTTTTCCTGATACTGGGTAAAATTATAGTGTACTTTTTCATTATTATAAGTGTAAATGAAATTATAAGATATTATAAAATCAGCATGTTTGTAAATATTCTGCAACTACCATGTTGTTGAAAAAGATAGATACTTTTTGTATAATATCTTTTGAAGTGATTTCTTTCAAGCATTGACAGATAATAGATTTTAGGAATTCTTGATTTTAGAATGTACATTTATTTATGATTTATTGATGTGCTTAAATATGGTGCAAAAATGTTAAAAATTTCTACCACTGTAAATATCTTATACATTAATATTGTAAATTTCATTACATATGTATCATATCATTTTAATATTCACTGGCATACCTGTAAATAATCATTTTATATATTTTATACATGTTATAAAAGAAAGGCTTTATTTTCATTACCAGATTTGCTGTAGGAATTATTTGTTCAGTGCTATTTTAAATATATGTTGTTTGTTTTAATGGTTATTTTATCTTCTTAAAGTCAAATATAAAGTCACATAGGACTGAACTAGTTAAGTTGAACTTAGTTTTACAGAGGACTATTCTGTAATTGACCAAACTCAGTTTTGTTTATACATTTCAATTAGGGCACGATATATTTTACAAGTTTAACATACAGTTAATGTTTTTATATTATTTTATTATTTTTTATTTTGAAGTGTTCTGTTTTAAATTAAAGCTTTGGAAAACATTTTTTGGTAAAAAAATCATTTCTTTAAAATAATATTAAATTGACTCAAATGCAGTACTCTTCAGAATTTTCTTTTCCTACATGCAAAGTGGCATTTGCTTGATTTACTATATATAGCAAGTCTTCAGTTTTAATAAATTATAGATTTATTTGAATTATATTTTGCCATTTTCTTAGTGAATAATAAAATACACTATCATATTTTTCACAGATTGTTAGGAAGAATGAAAATGCAAATATTTTTGTTTCTCAGAATTTAAATGTACATATAAATATATATTACAGTACAAACAAATAATTGAGTCATTGGATATGAAATTAAGTTTGAAAACCAGTCTTTGATTGCAAGCCTTCTCATTGGCTAATTTAAAATTGAATTCAAAATTAACCTATCAGATGCATTGAGGATGAGACTGGTTTCCACATTTTAGTTTTTATAACCAAGGCCAAATGTAAGATGGTTGATAGGATAGAATAATTTATGAATACATGTATATATTTTATATGTTTTATTAGATAAAGTTTAAAGTTGTCTGTCTTTTATAGGGTTGTGAAGAGAGAAAAGCATTACAAATTCAAAGAAATAGCAAATGTGTTATTTCAAAAAGTGAGAAAAAATAAATTTCTAAAAAAATTGTCAATGGCTTGTGTTTTATTTCTTAGCAATTCAAAAAGGAATTTTTATTTGGTTCCTCCCTGACCCTTCTTCACTGTAATTTGTTTAATGGTTATACCCTGCTTTGAATTAGTTCTGACTTCCATAACTTTAAATGTCGCTTTCATTTTGACCTTATGCGACAGGTCTAGCAGTAATATAAAGTCGTTCAATGAAGTCTATTCAGCTAGCTTTGAATGTGAAAGAGTCCAGTGTTTAAGAGAGGTTGTCTTGTGAAAATATAAAAATTGAGCAACGGTATAAAAGCTAGTTAGGCTGCTGTGACCCAAAAATTGTACACAAAAGTTGAAACTAGGGATATAGATTGCACCCCAGTTTGGAATGAATACATTAGCATATTTTTCGTCCAAATAAAAGTATCTACAAATTAATTGAACAATTTAGCTGTGCTTGTCATATTAAAACGTAATGCAAACCGAGCGGGGAGATGTCGACGGCGTACTCTGCACTGATGAACTACATATAATTATGTTCAAATCCAAGTCAGTTGTCCTGGCAGAACGGAGATAGAGCTGCATTGAGCTGAAGAAATATTCAAAGAAAATGCATCTAAGTTATAAAAACAAAATGTCAGGTCAACAAATATTAATATAAATAAAATGCTAAACATTACATTGGCAGTAAAATCAATGTGCATGAGTAAACAGCTTGATCTTCTTAATACTTTTATATATTTTCTTTTATACAGATTGTTTGTTTGAATTGTTATAGGATAGTCAGTTATGTCGGAAAATAGCTTATATAGCTAATGTTTTTATGAAACCGACTATAAATAAAGATTATCTTATCTTATCTTATCTTAGCTAGCATAGGCAACTTCCTTAGCACGCGTGCTTACTAAACTTAAAACTTGTAGCAAGTAAAACTTATTAAGCAGATAACAAAATCAGTAAAACAATACATTTTCTGGAAGCTTATACACTTGTCTATGGCTGCAGGTAAAGCATTTACAATTGATATTCCAATTTAAATAAATAACACATCACTTTTTAAGAGAACACAACTGCAATTATGCATATGACGAAAAATTGGCATAGTGGGTACGTACTGCTACGTTTTTTGAAAGGCACAGAAGAACGTTACCATTATTTTAACTATCAAATGGTATATACTATAGAAGGATCAAATCTATACACCCATTAACTTTTGATTGCTACAATATGTATGGCTATTTTTCACTTTATCATAGGCATAAGTAGTATTTCAATGGAGTATATAGGAGTTGCTTATCTCTGTTAACTGTCAAAATTTATGTTTTACTTTGTTTCACAATACCAAGATAAATCGTACCTAATGAGACGTCTTTCAATATCTCTCTAACAAAGTACATGTAATTGTTTAACTTTAATAGTGCTGGTATCACGTGACTTCTATAACGCAAGTAACTACATTTTTATTTTCCCCATTGATATAAATGTACATTTGTTATCCTAATGAAAACATTTTTGGTATTGTTCATCTCGCCTAACATTATGCATTATTTATTACATGTTTTGCAGTAGATTACTGAATTATAACGGTTAATTATATTCTGATAATTTCACAGTAATGATTACCAAATATAATTTCACAGTAGCCGAACTATATTTGGCGTAAAAATAAAATATTTATCATTAATGAATGTTTTTTCAGCGGAAATGTAGTCAATCATAATAAAAAATGTACGTGATAACTGTAGTTCGTAAATATTTACGAACGTTGTGCTGAAAAACATCTAAAATCTAAAAATAATCATGGAATTATATTTTGCTTCAACATTGTGACGTCATTATTTGATGACGTCATGAAGATAAGAGCATGACGTTACGCGGCAAAAATCAGTAAAATGGTGTAAAAATCGTTAAAAAATCATGAAATAAACAGAAAATTTGTTTGTTTTACATGTGAGATCAAATAATATTTCACTCGTGAACCCCAGCTATTATATTTTCACTCGTGGCTACGCCACTCGTGGAAAATATTGCATCTGGTGTTCACTCGGTGAAATATTTTTCGATCTTACACTGAAACAAACAAATATCCTCTATATCTTTGTTTATTAACAACAGCTAGTCAAACAATTATTAATAATAATGGAATTTATTTAATCGTGTCTTGTGGTGTTTTTTTTTCAACTTGTGAATTGCTCAATGACTAGCATCAACTTCCCATTTTGATTCAGCTGTCTCCGAGTTACACACTTATGCTACATACCGCTTCGATACTTCATAATTTCTCTAAGCCAATCGACTCTTTCTCGAATAGGAAAAACATTATATAGCAACAGAAGCAAAAGCGCCACAACAGTTGGTTTCCTACGATGTAATCTTAAAGATTCCTGCAAAGCCGTTCGTGCATACCATCTACAGATTAAAATATGTGAGTCTGCCATATTTTGGAATATGCTTCAACCGCCTGCATGGCACCTTTACAAAGCCGAAGGCGTCAACTGGCTTTCGTCCCAACAAAGTCAAGCGCCGAGGTGCACCCGTTACACATTATACAAACAAGATGCAAAGTTGCGTCAAAGCCACATTAGGAGACATGCACTGTCAGTTCTTCTTAAAATTATCGCCTGTCGTTTTCCTAGAATTTGCCTGCACAAAAAAATAGACCAAGCTACGCCAGTTGTATTCCATCATAAATAGTATATTTTTAAATAAATATTATTACAGCTATTTCCCCATGTCGCATGGTCTAAAATCATCCAGCATAATAAACATTTAGTCTTTTTTAATATACATGTTATCTTATAACTTATTTTAGCATTCTCTTAAAAAATAAACGTTTCTTGCTTTCAGCCGATTCATTAAAATATTGTATTTTTCATTTGGCCACGTAACATTTGATATGTATTATGTACAAGAAATAAAATGTATGTTCTGTTCTGTTCTCAATCTGTTAGTTTCTGCAAAAGCTTTTTGGTCTTTTTCCTTTTGGGTTGTTCTTATTATTTCTGATTGAAATTGAATAGTGTACAATCATCCTTAGGATTTGTTGTCTGCTTTTTAAATTTGTCTTTTGATGGGTTTTCTATGACTTGCAGGCTCCATGACCTTTTAACGCCATTTAAGATTACATTTTAAATTCTATTTTGTTTCATCGTTTTTGTTTTTTGGTTGTTTTTATTTTCTAAAGGATTCATTTCCTTCTTTGAGACCGCACACCGTTTTTTTCATGGAATGACACATAATTTAAATTGTCACAAAGAACCTGGGTGCGAAAATATCTGCGGATGTTTCTAAATTGCACTACTGTATTGTCAAATATTAATGTTAAATACTGCTTAAGCCCATCCTAGGGGACTTGGAAGGTAACTTGCATTTATCATAACGGTCAAATTCCTGTCATCACTAAACAGGCTCAATCAAATGCTACTATGAACTATTTCTTCCATTAAAAAAACGGGCGTTGTTGTGGAGTTCGTTTTTTTTTTCGTTTTTTTTTTTTTAAGAAACTTGGAGTAACAGGCGTTTAGAATTGTATCTTTGTGTTATTTATCCAATTGCTATATGGAATAAATAAACTTTATGGAATAAAGAAACCTGGTTTAGAGTGTGTTTATGCCTATAGATAAGACGGAGTTTATTTAGCGTCATTAAATCTAATATTTAGTGTCTCTATACCGGTTTGTATTTAAATTAGGCCAGTGAAGCTGCGGTGAGTAACCTTGGCAAGGGACGTAACCCTAAACAAACATTTTGCTTTGTGACTAATAGGAAGAGATCTCTACAGATATTTGGTATATTTCTTTGTTTTCATCTATTGTTATGCATTTTATTAGATTGTTTCGTTTAATTCAAAGTACTGTTTTACTTACTGGGCAAGAATATTTCATAGATTTTAATGTTTTTGTAAAAATTATTTCGGACCTGTCAAAACAAACCGACAGTGCGACACACGATAATTTTAATTCTTTTTAAATAGGAAATCACATTTGATGTTTTTGACAGGTAGGCCTAGATAGGTATTTTACATATAGAAGTTATAGGTATTCATATTTACATGAAAATGTGTATACATCTGACTTTTACATGTTTCTTTAAATAATTAATATGAATTCATGCAAAACTCTGATTTCTTTAAAAGTAAAAAAAGTATTTTGCATGTTTTGCCTTTTAAATTAATTATCTTCTCGACATGGCTAATCTTGCATTCATAGCATTAGACTCCGTATTATCAGCATACTAAAGTGTTCTGCTTACCTTGAAACACTTTCCCTGTACGGATGACCATTTATATCTCTCAGATTCTTCGGATTTATCTTGCCGTTCTAATTACCTTCCTACAAGATGGCGGCTAGGAATCGTTCTCGTCTTGCCCGGACTAAATCTCGTACCTTCCGGGAACGGTATGTTCCGGATTACGGTTACACTACCATACCTCACCACACTCCCCCCGACTTTAAAGATGAAGTCCTCTCACTGGAAGTGCGGGACCCCGAGATTCAAGTCCACTCCTGGGTTTCAAACCAGTACCCACAAAACCGCCTTTACAGGCGTTGGCCTGTAAACACAGATTATAAGTGGGCAGGCATTAGCCTGTGCAACAGTAATCTGCCAAATGCCTATCTGACAAGTTATTGACAGATAGCTTAACTGGATAACTGATATCTTAGATATCTTACCTTCCTGGGCACTGTTTTAACAGCGGCCAGCATCCAGTTCCTAAGCCGATTGCAGCTTACACCTCTACACCAAACCTGAGTGTTGACTACAGATTTGTGGAGATACCTTCTACACCACAGCAGCCACATTAACACAGAACAAGAAAGCAACAAACTTAGCATTGCACATTTGTACTTGTTAATATCCCAGGCTTCTGTTATTTCCAATAAGATCTCCCAACAGCATCAAAGGCACCACAGCTTGCTTTGGCTGTAACCTCTGTTTTCCCTTGTATCTTCAGAACAGGACCTGTTGTGCCAACCTGCCCATGACCATCTGTCTTCATGCTGCAAATGCAATTCCACATGTCGTCACATGACTTGCACTATCCTGACCCCTGCCATACCAGAAGAACATCTTCTTAAACCTGGCCCTGGTCACTGCAACACCTAGAGACCACCTGATGGTATATCCTGACTCATCTGAAGAACCTTTCTACTTATTGGGAATCTTACCTTTAGTATCGCCCATGTCCCTCAATAGAACTTAGTCTATTTATAGGAACTGTTCCTTATTCAGTCAGTGGGACTTAGCCCCAGGACGTACAAGAACTACTTAATGACTTTGGCAATACTAAAAACCCAGCACTAGCTCTTAGAACTAGCACTGCTGGCGGAAGTTACTCTACAGCTTCTAGCGAAAGTTGTTCCACTACTCAAAACTGTGCCCTATTTCCCCTTCCACCATAAGAGCATCGATCTGTATTCTCAATATCTGCTCACAATCTTACAGCATCTTCAAACACACTAAACTTTAGCACCATTGACCTGATTCTCTGCGTACAACCCCAACATTCGGACATTTGCTTCCTTGTGAACCTTTGCGACCCTTGTGACCTTGGAATTGCCGACGATACAATGGATCTGCAAATCTCTTCCAGATTATCAGCATTATTGCGATGATACCTTATGACTTTCGTCAAACTTCATCTTTCGCACACCTCGTGATACCTGGTTATCGACATTATTGCGATGATACCTTATGACTTGTCACGGTCAAACTTCATCTTCACACACCTTGCAATACCAAGAGAATTGCCACATCTACGTCCCTCATGACGAGGTCCAAGTCAACCCTTGCGCAATGATCACATCCCCCACAAGGCAGTTTCCTCAGTTCGACCCCAGAAACATACTCGTACAATGCCCCGATACCGGTATTCGAGACAATGCAGCTTTGACATGCTTCTGACAAACACATAGGATTATGTTGCTATGGAACAACCCTCCTCGACCTGGCTTAAACTGTCTGTGTTGCTTCTTTCCCAGCAAATACCAAATGAGCCTCGAATTGAACTATTCTGCAATACACTTGCTAATGTTTCTTTACATGCTGTCTACATCGAGAATACATCCAGCATGGAACTTAGTCCATGACTGTTTCCTTCACAAACCTGGTCTCACTCCATGCTTAGCATGAAATGACGCTGGTTTGAGACTCTGGCGCTAACCGGAAGAACACATACTACCTCCTCCCCTTTTTATTTGATTTTTTTTATTGCAGTGAGGGGCAGTCAGACTTGAAATGACCCTCTTTTCCACAACCGAAACAAGTTCTTCTAGGCCATCTGCTTCTTCCTTGAGAAGTGTTCTCCTCATCTAGTTTCAGGACCATGTTGTCAAAACATCTCTGAAGCTTCTCAATTGCCACTTCCAAAGAACTCAACTGAGATGGAGCAGCGTTGGCTCGCGCAACCTCAGGAGCTTCTTCTAGGGCAAACACATTAGCGCCATCGTCAACAACTTCTTTACTAGCCCTCTTCTTAGAACGGCCATAAACTGACTGATGCAGGTGCTGATACCATTGGCCTTTATTCATTGCCTCCTCCATGGTTGAAGGTCTATCCATGGCTACGGCTACCGCGGCATCTTTGTCTACCAGACCCTCACAAAACTTGCTCACTGTCTGCCTATTGGAATAGTATTCAGGCAGGTCTTTGAACGCATTTGTCGCCAGGGTCATGACCCTATCTGCCCAATCATCAAGAGACTCCCCCTGCAGCTGTGAAGATTGCTGGAAACACACTTGGGCTGTTTCAGCAGGTTCCCTGGAACCAAATCTCATCTCCAGTTTCTGCAAGAGCTTCCGATAAGAAATATCGCCATCTCTCTCCATGATGATTGCATGATAGTCAGCGGCTTTTCCAGTCAGGCACCAGCATAAACCATCAAGGCATTCGTCTGACGTCCAATCGCATGCGTTAGCATAACGAAAGAACTTCTGCTTAAATGCCAGCCAGTTTCCCTTTCCATCATACTGCAACCTCTTCGGCAGACTCCGAATAAATGCTGCAGTCTCGGACTTTTTCGCGCTATATTTAACTCTAGGTTGCGGAGAAGATTGTCTACTCAGTCCAGATAATTCATCACTTGAAGAATCATCATACCTAGCAGCTGCGTTTAGCTTGGGACGCGCCCCACCTCTCAGAGACTTGGCCTTTGAGGACAGGGGGTCAACCGTACTACTTGCATTTTTTGCGCGAATGATATCTTTGGCTACTTTCAAGACTTTTTGTACCTCTTGCCAATCCTTACTTGAAGGAATCTTGTCGGGCTCCTCAGCATCTTCATTGAAGTTCCCTTTTTCTTGAACATCCAACAAGCTGTCCAAAATTGCTCGACTGTCCCCTCCTTCACCAGAATCTTTCCTTGACGAAGATGGTACTTTAGGTAGTATTTTCCCCCAATCTAATGGCAACCCCTCACTTGGTGAGAAGTCCAGCAGAGCTACTTCTTCTTTATCTAAAGTGCGCTCTAACATGTCTTGCAGCACTCCGAGTGTTATATTCCCTCCACTATTACGGATTGTAATAATAGACTCAGCTATCCTTGAACTTATGCCCGGAATCCTTAGGAGTTCCTCTTTCGAAGCAAAATTAACACAAATTCTTTCGCTGCAACCTGCCATTATTTTTGTTCTTACTTGGTAGCCCAAAGATATAACGACGACTAATGCAGGAATTAGTTATAATTCGTGCAATTGGATTCAGTGAAGTTCAGCTAAAGTATGTCAAGTCAATCAGTCGTTAGACAGCAGACTTGCAATTATTTTACATTCGAAATTATTTTAATGTATTACAGACAATTATTTCCTTCCCGAAAAATAATTTACATTTATTAAAACAATTCAGATTAAAATTATGATAGAATTTTTACTAAGTAATTCAAAAATCAATAACGAAAATAAAATACAAAAATCCGACTTTGTTGTTTATAAATACAATGAGGATCTTTGCCTCTAATTGTAAAATTAAATATATAGTGAGACTTAGCCTTCAACTATATACATACAAACAAAAATCAAACAAGAGTACATCTACTTTGTGTATTGACCTTGAAAAACAACAATGCAAATAAATTCAATCAATTATACTGAACCGCTGAAAATATACCAAAAATTTAACCCAAATATTATTCAAAAATATTTAAAATATAATGCTGAACTGGCACAGTTTTCACGTGCGAAACTGATCCAGGGCGGAAGCTTAGCTTTCCGATGCGCATGCGTCGTAAGTCTGAATATCCGAAGTTTCTAAACTTACCAAAAGAGTACTCTAAATACTCAATTTTAGCAAATTTCCACATTAAATCATCTAAACGTACAGTGCTTGTTCAATCCAAACCAACAGTCCCTTTTCCCCCTCCCAAATATCGGAAATACTTAGATTTCAATATTTGAAAACCAAAGTTTTTATGGTTGAGAAAATCGCTGATTTACCTCCGGATTGCGTAGAATTCCTACGAAGTTGACGTGAATTCGAATAGTAGCTGCCACCATTAAAGTGTTCTGCTTACCTTGAAACACTTTCCCTGTACGGATGACCATTTATATGTCTCAGATTCTTCGGATTTATCTTGCCGTTCTAATTACCTTCCTACAAGATGGCGGCTAGGAATCGTTCTCGTCTTGCCCGGACTAAATCTCGTACCTTCCGGGAACGGTATGTTCCGGATTACGGTTACACTACCATACCTCACCACAATACTTAACATTTCCTATATGTCTGCATTGAATTTCATTGATGAATTTAATAATCAATATTCTGTGTAAAGCAGTACAAATTCAACTAATCATT